AGGCCATGTTCGCCAGAATATACCTCTGAATCCTGCACAGGGCAAAGACTATACATTTATAATCTCTATCACATAGTAAACTCATAGAAATTGGATAAATAAAGCTTCAGAACATTAGAGGAGTCCAATCCTGGGGGGCTTTTAACTTCTCTGCCCCTCAGTCTCTTTACCCCTGAAACTGAAAACTTTTACTCTAAAGTAATGGGCTGAGAGCTTGTTTTCAGTCCATGGTGAAGAGAAAAAGACAATGTCGTGCGTCTTTAATAAAGGATTGTCTGATTGTCTTTTGGTGTTAAAATAATCTTCTGTGAATTGATAAGAGTTTTGTTTAAATGTCTTTCCTTAGCAAAATAAAAAGTTGGCGACTCTACAGAGACTCTCCTCTCCATTTCTTTTCCCTCATTTTAAAAATTTCCAGGTGTGACATCCAAGTCTGGAAATCGCTGAATTAGGACAATGTTGCAAGAGTCCAGGTGAAGTACCATAAAAACCTCAATTAAAGCAGTGCCGATGGAGATAGACAAGCAGTAGAATTGAGAGTGGCCAATTGGATGTGACGACGGAAGAGGAAATAGTTGCTGGTAAACATTGCTCTCTGACACGGATAAATGGCAGCACCATTCACTGAGCTAGAGCACACTAAGAGGGTAAAAAAAGATTATGAAATGATAATGAATAAAGAAGTTTAAGGAACTCGCAGAATGCCCAGGCAGAGATAGGCAGCTTATAACTTTTAAATTTCTTTGAGTGATAATATTTGAAAGTAAGGAAATGGTTTTTGGCTTTGTGTGCACCATAACCTTCCTGTGGCCTGGGTACTTGGAAGCAAAGTTGACTTTTTCTAGACATAGCCAATATTAAAATACTGAGCACAGTGGAAATAGCTTGGTAAAGTCCTGATTAAAGGAAACAGTGTCCGTGGATAAGTAAAATGATGTAAGAACAGCGGGGAATTATGAAAAATCTGACATCTTTTGGGTACCAGGCAAATTACCATTTATTACTTTCAATAAATAGCTTTGACACTGTGAGAGCACTGCATCTCTGAAGAATCCACCTGGACCACAAGACAAGGGGATCTTTTGTTCTAAGATCTTTGAAAACTGGACACACTAGAAAATGATGCCTCAATCAGAGGGGCAGAAAAATCTCCTACGCAAAACTCTAGCCCAGTGCTTCTCAAACTTTATCAGCACATACATCAACTAGGAATCTTATTAAAATTCAGATTCTGATTTAGTAGAATCGGTTTAAGGCCCGGAGTTCATCATTCCTAACAAGTTCCCAGATGATGATAATGCTACTAGTCCTACTCTAAGTGTGGTGAGACCTTTCCATGGCAACTTGACATCGATCAGTGGACTTTTTCAAAAAGGGTACCACATTTTTGCAATTCTTTTCTTTTTTCCTACGTTATACTTGTTTTACCATGTAATTTTACATTTTAAATTGAATACGTCAGGGCTCTTCTTCTGCACCTCGTTTTTCCTTTACGACTTCATTCATTTTTGTCGTGTTTTATGATAGTATCAGTCTGTGGTGGATTTGAGAAAAAAAAATGGTCCCTCACCACGGATAGTTTGAGAAACATTGCTCTAGACAATGAAGAACTTTTTATTTGGGACATAGAATTTAATTAGAAATGGTTTGGTTTCTGTTACACATGATTCTAAAGCAGTATTTTAAACTTTTCTTTTTATTTACTCCATAAACAATAACAAAACTCAGCTAGGTAACATTATGACAGGTTCACCATACACTCAGTCACAAATATTTAAAACTTTTGCAACAAGAACAACAAAACCAGAGGTGTTACAAGAATAATTTACAAGAAAATCTAGAAAACAGCAAGAAGCGCACAAATGTTCATTT